ACGTTTTATCTTCCACAAGTACCCTCTTTACACCGCAAATACAGATCAAACAAAAACAATAGCAGTAACGGCACAGAGTTGTACAGTAATAAGGTATCAAGTTAAATTTATGGTTTAAAGAATCCGAATGTGGATTCTGTGATCTAAGAAAAAAGAAAAATGTGAAACTGCTTTACGTAGTTCATTGTTTTTTCTTCCTTTCCTTTTTCTGCCTACCTTTATCCCTCTTTAAGTATTTGACTTAATTTTTGTACTAATGACTGCTTAATTTTTTCCTGTCTTCTGCTAACCTTCTTAGTCTCCAGATGCTTTGTCTTCTATTGTTCTGTTCATTTAGTATGGTGCTGCTTAAGTATGTCGATATACTAAAAAAACAGAAAACCAAATTAAAAGAACATTTTGCGTAAAATAGAACAATTGCTTTGTTTCAACTGGAAAGAAACAGTACAGGCCCTTCTGAGACAAAAAATAAATAAAGATAGAAAGAAATAAAAGTCGAAAAAAAAAACAATAGAAGAGAATAATGTTCTCACTAACAACACTTTTTAGCATAAAAGTATTGTTAATATTCAGAGATAGACTGTAAACAGCTAGCGTCAAAGTTTGTTTTCAAACCAAAATATGTATTTGCAATATTGCACAGTCATTGTGGAGCATTAGTTTCGTTTCTAAACCCGTTCCAAGCCAAAATACTATAACGATCAAACAGTAAAGCTGCAAAAAAAATTGAGGACACTTTCAGGAAAGGGAAACGATTGCTTTCTTGCTACGGTCTATTTATTCAGTCATTGCAGTTTGAAGCAGTCGAATTTTACTGAAGGTGATTCTTGAACATATGATTCATGTAACAAGTAGTCGGGGGCAATGTAACCACATTAGTATCAACAAAACTGTCCAGCTGAATAGCTAACAGCGAGAAAAAAAATTGATGATAATTGTGACGGCAGGTTTGTTGTCAGGATGCGCATTCTAGTAGTTAAGTCCAGAAAATACAGAACTGTACCGAAACTGTTGCGGCAGAAAAGATCGTTGACTAGGTCCAGCAACAGCAGCAACGGCAGC